ATTCAAGGGAGATCTGCAGCATATAGGTTCCACATGAAACATAAAACAATAAAGGACATCATACATTATATTTACACGATACATTTACATAGTTAAAGACATTTACAAGTTGACGATCATGACGACCTGGTCTGTGGTTAGGTCTGGCGTAGGAGTGTGCCACTTTCGACGGAGCTGAAAGTTAGGGAGATACTGTAGTTACATGTAAACTGGGCCCAGAAGTGGTCAGCCAAGACCTGGCTGTGTTTCCAGCGACGACGCCCAAGCAGATCGCAGTCGCCATACACTGCTTGTGGCAATGATGCATCTCGCCGCCCCATGAGCAAGAGATTGGGTGTAATGGGGTCTGGATCAGCAATGTCGCGCCTCGCATAGCCGAGAGGCTTGGAATTGAGTATTCCCTCCACTTCCGCTAGCACAGTCATCAGGACCTCTTCAGGCAACGTTTGTTTTTTTAGGACCACTTGCAGAGAAACTTTGGCTGCTCGACACACTCCCATTCAGGAGCATCAATGAAGTGACCCGCTCTGGTGAGGATAAAGCAGCCATTGAACTACTGGAGGACAAGACTACCTGTCATAGTTGGCGATGTGTCTCGCTACGCCACCCCATTACTGCGTAAGCAAAGTGCCCGCTCTCTGCATGCACCTCCTACTGCAACAATGGCTCTCCTAAGAGCTACAGAACGTCGTCTGTCTAACAACCCCAAGCTATCTGCAGTCTACAATGAGGAGATTCATAAGCTGGAAAAGGCTGGTTATGCAGTGAAGATTAGCTCTGAAGAGGTGAGCAACTCAAAGGAGTCATGGTTTATTCCCCACCATATTGTACAACACAATGGTAAACACAGCGTCGTCTTCAACTGCTCCTTTAACTACCAACAAGCCTCTCTTAATGACAATCTGCTTCGTGCACCGATCCTGGGCTCAGCGCTGCTTGGCGTGCTGCTGAGGTTTAGAGAGTATTATGTGGCCATCAGCAGAGACATACGTGGCATGTTTCATCAAGTGCGTCTCCTCCCTGAAGACCAACCACTGCTCCGCTTCCTGTGGCGAGACGGGGAGACAGATCGCAGTCTAGATGTCTGCGATTCATGCCGGATATGTACAGCGTAGGGCACTGAAGAACGATGCTGTTCCTACTTTGTTTGGACCAGCGGGAGACTCGGGTACACAACCTTATTAAGTATTCATTGTTGTTTGTGCATTTATGATGTTTAAAACAAACGAGGTATCTACCACGACTGTTTAAATGGGTAAACGTCTTTATTAGGTCTTTACTACGTTGGGATCGCGGAGAAATGTTCTCCGCAGACCCATTCTCACAGCGTTATAAACCTTTTTCTTACTCAATATCAAGCCACACTTATTGTTTTTACTTCGGCTGTGAGTGTTTGTGTGTGCTCAGGATGAGTTCCGCTTGTTCTCCTGTATCGCCGACACGGAAGCCTGTCTGATCCGTTGCAGCAGCGAGCAGCAGCTGTGAGCAGCAACGAGCCTCTTAGCTTCGCAACCAATCAGAGCACACTGGGCTCAAAGGGAGGGAGGGGGGGCAGGAGCTCGAACAAGCCGTTTAGGACAGAGAGTGAATACCGGTGAATACACATACTTTACAGAGATGCTGTATGAGAAACCAATGTGAGTTTGGAAAATTGCACAATAGAAATCTATTTTAGTATACCTCAACAATGGAATTATGATCAGTAGAAATGGCCATGACATGGGATCTTTAAGTCTTATTTTGGAGGAAGACCTTGAAGATCAGTTCCTGAAGAGTTATTTCTCTTTGTTTATGTGTGTTTCGTGTGCTGGAAGACACTGAAGTTGAACATTACAACATGAGGACTGATGAGGCTACATGATTGTTTTATTCTTTAACAGTCTAGCAATTAAACACGCAGGCACAAGATGTAGGCCTACAAAGACTGAAATACTGTACGTGTTGACATTTAATTAAAGTCAAGGCCTCTAACTGTTTAGTTGCAAAGTGCTCCTCAGAGAGTGGGAGGAAACTGTTTTGTATAAAGTCAAGCCAAAATGTTTTTGATATAATTTTCTATTGTAACAAAGTGTAAAGCGTAAATGTAATCACATTTTTTCCTGCCTGAAATAGTTTTTGTGCACACCATCAAATAACTACCTACAGGATGATCCTGTGTGGGGGTAATAATTCATATGTTTCAAAGTATGTATCTGTTTTCCATGGCAGAGATACTAATTTTCTGAACATTTCAGAACCATTTTAAAACCAAATCATGTGTGTTGTAGCTGCATTTCACACTGTTGCTCTCCTGTAGCGGTGACAAGTGGAAACTTTACTTGAAACTTGCTTTAATTTCAAACTCAGGTTTTAGAAGGGGTTGTTTCATAGAATATGTTTTACATAGTTAACATTTTGCGTTTATTACGACATAGACGGACTGCACAATAACCAACTATGTATATTTGTATGCCTTGTCATCTATTACCGCCCTACAGCCTTTCATGTGTACATGTAAACGTGTTTTTACTGTAATTTTGAGAAAAAATGTTTGACAAATATGTTTGAAATGCAATCATACAAATAAACATTTGTTTATGTCATCTAAATGTTTGCTGCTTAAATAGACTCAAGAGTTTTTCACATGCTATACAGTTGACCGTTTAAAACAAGGAATGTCCACTTTTGATACATCTGTTGAGTATGTCTGAGTAATAACAAAACCAACCAAAGAGGTTTTTATTTTTCTTGTCAAGGACAGATTACCCAATAATTCATAAGAAAAAAGCAATCCCACGTTCATACGGGTTACAAATAATTGTATGTAGCAAGCGTTTTCTATTTGCTTCTGTAACCAGGTTGAAAATAACCCTTACAGTGAAATTAAAACAAGATCAAATAAAATATCTAGTTCATGCAAAGATAACGATTAAAAGATATTTCACAACGGTTTAAAAAGGGAGCGGGAGTGTGTCAGAGTGGTGGCTTAACTGACAAAGTCGCGGCACAGTGTGAATAAAAGTTGACAGTTTATAGCAAATTAGTATGTAGTTAGTGTCTCAAGATGATCAACTCGACAGTCTTCATATGGATTCTTTTCTACACTGACACGCTGTCTGCAAGGAACTGATTACCTTTCTACTCAGAGTTTTCCCAGAGTAATCCACGGGTATTAGCTTGTTAGCAACTGAGTGTTTGCATTCATTAATACAATGAATGGACTCTGAGCCACGTTGTAGCTAACTCAGCTGGCGTTATTGGCTTCAGGTCGGGGTTTTTCGGCATGAAAACCCTGAAGACCTTTATCAGTTTTGCTGCAAGTTGGTGACAGTGAGGAGTTTGGGCGGTGTGAAAAGAGCCGGAGCTAAACCGAAGAATCGGTTCTGAACCTGAAAAGCTCTAGCACGGAGCTTGAACCGGAGTTACGTTGGTGTGAATGAGGAGGAGTTTTGGACAATACCAGAGAGCACGCCGTCGATGGACACCTTCCCGCCACCGTTGATCGCTATCTGAGACTCAAGGATCAGTACAGCTGCAGTTTGGAGTTGAAGATGTAAGGTATCGCTCTGGTTTTATTGCTCATTTGAGTGAAGAAGACAAATAGTTTTGACTTTCAACGCTCTCAAGCATCACATCAGGCCTGCAACGTGAGGTGTTTTATTTCATTTTATTTGCCAGCTTGTGTGTGAGTGTGGGCCCACTGAGTTAAAGAGCAACTTCCAGGTTAAAGACACCTGTGAATAAATGTGTAGGAAAATGATGAATACACTAGATTTTCAAAACAATATACAGAAATATACACTACAGTGACATCTGGCGTCGTTTTTGTAAGAAATGTTCACTTCCGCATAAAAAAGCCTCGGCACGTGACCTGCGTGTGACGTAACATGGGGGAAACAAGGGGGAGAGCGGCCGGTGTAACGTATTAATAAACATGGGTCACAATGCTAGTTTCGACACAGAAGAAGTTGAACATGAATATTCGAATGCATATGACGGACCAAAACCTTATAATTATGAGCCTGCTAGGCGTCCAAGAGACCAGGAGCAGCCAAGGATTAGAAGAAATAACGGCCATCGGAGAGAAATTGAGCTGTGGTGTGAGGAGAACCAGTGGAGAACTGGGAAGCTATCTTGGTGAGTGACCGGCGTTAGCTACCGAATGTTGGCTAACGTCACATCACAACATTGAGAAGTTAGCTATCATAAATCAGGCTATAACTAAAGTAGCATTGATAATATAGTAACGTTACTGGCAGGACTGTTGATACTGATCCATAACAGAAACTAATGCGCAAGTATCAGCCGTATCTCGCGTTACCTATGCAACTCCACACTACGGTGCTGTGTACAGAGGGGAGACGCGAGATACGGCTGATAATTGACGATCTGGCGGAGAAAGGTTGTGGAGCCTCCGTTGATATGCCGTTGTAAATGGCTTGATGGAAAGCAGGTGTGTAGTCGGGGAGGGTGCACAGCTGATTGCAGCAGGTGAGTGGAGGTTGAGCCGGGAGCCAGGAGTGACAGCCACCACTCCCACACAAACAACACAGACAGGGGGAAACAAACAAGCACAAAGGAGACGGCTGGAGCAGTAAAGCCACCACAGCGAATTATTGTGTGGGTGGGCCTGGAGAAATGTAGGTGGGCCAGGGAAGGCATATTAAGCGTGG